ATCTGTAAGGTGCCAATTAGTAATGTAAATATAAAGCATGATAATAAATTTCAAGCCAATAATTATACATACCATCGCCTACATATGTATTTACCCAAAATTCAGCAATGATTTTTCCATATTCATTGTATGAAATCGCATTATGGCATTATCAAGAGCTTTGCCGTATATTTCAAGGTCTTTAACACCCAACTCACTAGTTTATATATATGAACAAGTTTGTAAGTTTCGCATCACAATGCTCTATTCATCTTTAACAAAAGTTTAGTTAAATTTTTATTACTGTATAACAATAACAATTAAGCACCATTAAGGTTAATTATGTTATTACTTGAGAACACCCTGTTAACAAATATTAACGTTAAACAATTTTACATACGTAGGATGTTTTATTGATCATTATTATAACAATATTACAGCGATAACGATAACATTAACAAATGTTTCCAAATTTTGTTGTAGTACAAATTCCGTTTTATATATGTTCGACCATTATCCAATCAAAATCCAGATTTTGCATTCTATAACCATACACCGTAAATAACATTAAAATCACACCTCTATATAATCACGAATTTCAAAGTGTGATTATAAAGAGGTATGACTGTATAGATTATTATTCTACATTATCGTTATCGTTATAGCAATAGTGTATTATCAACTGTAAAATATGCCTCGACGTCGAGCAGAACTTGATGACGGATTAGATTCTTCAGAAGATAGTGAAAATGAGACGCTTGAAAACTTAGATCCCTTATTGCAAGAGGAAGCTCAATTGTTTAAAGGTATGGTGCAGATCCAAGAAAGTGCAGTATAGATCTTGCAGATCTAACGCTTTATTGATATAGATCCTGTTCGCTATCATAAGCGCCGTAAATTTACTCAAGAAGAAGCTTACCTTGGAATTTGGGCCGAACGCGATGACGACGAAGACGTAGGTTCAGTTCGAAGGAAAGGGTACGTAATTTTTGAGGCTTTTTTTTTTTTTTTTAACTCTATTGACAAATCCGATCTCTACGTAGTGATGTACAATTTGTTGCTTCAACTTCAAAAGCGATACTATCTACTTCAGTTGAGGACGATGAACTTGAGGAGGATGATCTTGAGGACAATGATTTTGATGACAATGGTCTTGAAGACGATGATCTTGATAATGAAGATAAAAATTTTGGAAAATTTGAACAGCATACGAAAGGAATTGGCTTTAAGGATTTTGGAAATTTTGATCAGCATAAGAAAGGATTTGGCGTAAAGATTGATAAAGAATTTGGAAAATTTGAACAGCATACGAAAGGAATTGGTTTAAAGCTTATGCAGAAGATGGGCTATAAAATAGTATGCTTATGAAAAATATTATGTCTGTCAAACGAAAGGTCTAGTTATATTAAGGTTATTAAAGTAAATAATGTGTTTAGGGAGAAGGTCTTGGAGTAGAGGGACGTGGTATAACAAAACCAATTGAAACAAAGTTGCGACCTCAGAAAATGGGATTGGCATATCGTGGTTTCGATGAAAAGACAGATCAAGTAAAAAAGGAAAGGTAATGAATAGATTATCATAAAATTTCGATTTGTTTATATGGTTCTTTTTCATGAAATTTTGACCAAAATATGTTATATATTGAAGGCAAGAAGTCGATATTCACGAAGAAGATCTCATCAAACAAATGCCAAAAGTAAAGAAGAATGCATGGAAAAAATCTACGAAATCAAAGAAAATAAACATTGAATATAAGACGGCAGATGAAATAATGAACGAGGCCACATCGACAACTCCTGTACGGCCTATTAAAATTATAGATATGACAGGTCCACAGGTAGGAATTTGTTCATGTAAATACTGAAAGCATATTCTTTTTATTTATTCAAAAAATTTTCATCATTTATTTCAGACTCGTGAATTATCATCTGCGAGTCAGATCACCTCTCTTATCATCCCAGATTCATCTACGCGTCTTCCGGAACTTCGTCATAACCTTCGACTAATTGTAGATATGTCAAAGGCGGATCTTGAACATTTTACTAGAGAGAGAAGGATACAAAATGAACGGACCAAGGCCCTTGAAAGGGATGTAGACAGAGTAACTGTATTAATAGAGGATGAAGCAGCACGTAAATAATAAATATCGTAAAGGATTTAATTTGTGATTTGTTTTTAATTGCTTACAATCTTTATTTTCAAATTATTAAGGTATAAATCGACTTAATGATATCATGTCTATTGTCAAAGAATGCAATAGACTACTTACGTTAACTATATCTAGTAACTCCCCTTCGTTACAACTTTTTATGGAGCCATTTGAGAAGTTGCAAACGAAATATTATGATGAATATGCATTATATGATTTGGATACTGCAGTTATTGCAATAGTAGCACCAGTGGTAAGTAAACATATAATTACTAATCAATTTTAGTTGATAACGCAAATTGGACTAATATGATTTGTCATTCTCAGTTCAAACAATACATGACGTTTTGGGATCCATTAGAAAATCCTAAGCTTGGATGGTACGAGTTTCAAAAATGGAAAGGATTATTAAAAACAACAAAAATAATGCTATCAGAGAATGATCGTATAAGGTAAATTACATAGATAATTTTATATATTCGTATATTCGTGTAATTAACTGACTTTTGTCTTACCAAGAGGGGAGTTGTCAATGACACCATATGAGAGTATGATGTACAATATTTGGCTTCCGAAAGTCAGATCAGCAATAAAGTAGGTGCATTTTATATTCAAAGATGTGGATTTTATATACTTGATTTTGTATATTTATGTTCGATTATACTTTTATTATCTAAGTAATACTTGGAATGCGAGAGATTATGATCCAGCAATTAAGCTACTTGAAAGTTGGCAACCACCGCTACTTCCAGTATTCATTTATGAAAACATTATAAATCAACTAATTATGCCAAAAATAACAAGAGAAGTTGACGCATGGAACCCTAAAACGGACAATGAGATGATTCATCAATGGCTACATCCTTGGCTTCCTGTGTTAGGTGAACGTATGGACCCATTGTACGTAACAATACGCCAGAAGTTCCGTGTAATTTTACAAAGTTGGGATCCTATAGATACAAAAGCGATGGCCATCCTATATCCATGGAAAAATGTAATGTTGCATTTTAGTTTTTTATTGATTTTTTTTTTAATTTTACAAACGTCAGATTAAAACTTTTTGAAATACATTTAATAAGGTTTTTACACCGGAAGACATGCAATTATTTCTTGTCAAATCTATTTTACCAAAGCTTTCTGAGATGATACGAACAAGATTTCAAATCAATCCTAGAAAACAAGAACTAGGTACGACATTTATATTTACATCTTAAAATCTATGCCTGTATTTTATTTATTGATTATTTATTCATAATATAAATAGGAATCTTTAATTGCGTGATGAGTTGGAGACATATGTTTACTTCAGAAATATTTGGACGATTATTTGAGACAGCTTTTTTCCCAAAGTGGTTAGATGCTTTATATACATTGTTAACGCACAACCCAGATTATAATGAAATAAAAGAATGGTAGGAATTTGCACTTAATTGATTATCTTTTAGTTAAAAGAAACTAATAGACTAAATTAATAGGTATCGATTTTGGAAATCGCTGTTTCCTCCGGAAATGCTTTCCGATTTAACCGTTGAAGCACAATTCATAAAAGGGTTAAATATGATTGATGAGAGTATCTCATTAGGAAATGAATCTGCTAGCAGGTTTGTTATTTCCCGGATGGTTTTAATTATTATTATTTTTGAAATTGTTTTTTTTTTGTTTACTAATACGGTTAATGTCTGTAGATTGCCACACCCATCTAAACAAAGCGAAATTCCGGATTCAGAACAATTCTTTTCATCAACCAAACATACGATACTCACTGATGACGCAGAAATTACATTTAAAGAAATTGTGGAAGAATTTGCAGAAGAAGAAAATCTTTTGTTTCTTCCATCTAATAAACATCACAAAATCTCAGGAAAACCACTTTATCGTATTGGACGTAATTCAGGAGGCGCTGGCGGGTTAACACTGTATTTAGATGATGATGTTATGTATGTTAAGCAAGGCCTTGAATGGTTACCCATGGGCTTTGACGAAGTACTGGAGAAGCTAGCGTAGATGAATTTTATTTATTAAAAGAATTTTACAATTTTTACAACTTTTACAATAGATCATTTTAGTGTATTGAAATTCAACTAATATTAGATTTCTAACCAATTGTAAAATACTAATCGATAATCTGGAGATATAATTTAGATCTCGTTAATTAAAAAAAATTTTTTTTAATTGTTTCGACTACACTATTTTAAAAATGTATGTGTAGTAAACCTCCAACCTCCTCTCATAAGCCAACGGCAAAACTTTAACTTTAATAGCAAATCTATCAGCAACAAAATTAGGAACATCTGAGCCTAACTTGTAATTAATAGACAATATTTGAAAAATCAACTATGTTTAAAGCGACGCTTATACGTGTACCGAAATAGTGATATGGACGTTAGTAATATAAGCGCTATTTTGAAACAAGTAGGGATGTTAAATTGCGAATCCAGTCCGGTCCGATCCTAGGATCTAAAAAGACAGTCCTCCTTTAAATCACATGAAAATACAATACATTTTATATTTTATAGGACTTGGATCCTGTATCAAATCCTGAATTATATCTATCGAATAAGTCCAATCAAATTAATTTTGTATTGTTATAATAATTCAATTCCAAGTCCTATAAAATGTATTGTGATTTCAAGGACTGAGTCCTTACCGATCCTGTAGGTCCTTGTAAGGACCGGTTAGGATTCGGTCCCAAAAGACCGATTAACATTCCTAGAAACAAGGAACATCTAACCCTTCTTTCAGAATCAGTAGACTTGTGCAGGAGACAAAACTCAGTTTTGCAAAAATCATGAATACTAAATACTCGAAAATGAGCCCGATACCATTCTTTCTCTAGGTTAATCCAAGACATCCGCCAGATATACATTACCTTATTTCTGCAGATGGAGTCCTAAAAAATATATTTTGAATTGTTTTTAATTTATTTTTCAAACTCGAATTTTCAAAACAATAAAATATTAATGATGTACTTTAGTGTTTCAGCCTAAACCGAAACTTTTGGCTGGCCGAAACCTCCGAAACATAGTTTTGTCAGAAGTTCCAAATCTGAAACTTTCGAAACCTCCGAAACTGGGTGAAACCTCTGAAACAGGCGAAACTTCAAATACTTCCGAAACAAATAGCCAATAAAATACAAAAATTTTCTGATCATGTAAAAAACACATGTATAAACTTACATCAGATATTAGGCGAAACCTCCGAAATTGGGCGAAACTGGCCAAAACCTCTAAAATTAGGCGAAACTGCCAAAATCTCCAAAAATGAGCGAAACTGGCCGAAACCTCTGAAATAAATTGGGTGAAACCTTTAAAATTGGTGAACTTTCCAAAATATTCCAAATAGAATATCAAAAAACATAAAATACGAGCAAAGCGGAGAGAAAAAATAGAGGAAAGGTCTGAAACTTTCTGAAAGATAAAGAGTTTGGAAGGATGTTCAAAGGGTTTCGGCCATTTCGAAGGTTTTGCCCATTTCGGATATTTCAGCCATTTGGAGGTTTCGGATGTTGGGTGAACCGAAACTCCAGGGCCAAAACGTTTTGGACTTTGGGGGGAGGTTTTGGACGAAACACTAATGTACTTACAATATTTAACAAGAAAATGTTTAATGGAGCTTCAGGTGTAAAGAGAAAAAAAAACAACAGTATTAATGATAAGTTTGCTAAAAACAAAACTCAAATGATCAAATATTTATATGCAAATCTACACGTAAATTAACATCAAATGATTAATCATCGTCAGAACCAATGATTCACTGTAATCACTCTTAAAAATAGCTAATCACAGAAATCACCTTATATTAAACCCCCCTAGTATCACCAACTTAAAAAATTTTGCAAGTCATATGCTGGCCAATTAAATTTTTTTCTTAACGAACATTAATGATATGATATATTAAGATATACTTTTTTTTTAAAAAAAAAAAAAAATTGTAAAATATTTTATTTAAAAATATTTTTTATTTAAATTTTAATAATTTTTTTACAAAAAAAAAAAAAAAAATAACAAAATTTATAAGAAACCATCCTCATAGTCTAATTAAAATGCTTCATGTAAAATTTTACTAATAAAAACTTTGCCTTAACCCTAACTTAACCACAAACTATAATGTTGAATTCACAGTAAAAATTACAGGAAGAACAACTTTTGTAGGTGTGTTACTTACCCTAACCCAACCCAAACTACAATATTGGATTCTTAGTAAAAAGAATCAAAGAAAGCATTATCAAAAAAATAAAAAAAGATCACTAAAAAATAACAAGAGAGTCTTAAAAGAAAAACAAGAAAAGCACTAAAAAAATAACTAAAAAAGTAATAAAAAAGTGGCAAAAGAAGCACTAAAAAAGCGATGAAAAAGTGAGAAGAAAAGAAAACAGTGATGAAAGAAAACCATTAATCTAAAAAAAAAAAGATCATGAAAAAAATATTAAAAAGAACAAACCATTAATAGAACGACCAAGTAATTACTAAAAGAATGATGAAGAACAACAAAGAATGATGAAAAACTCCATGAAAGAACCTAAACCTTAACCAAAAGAAAAATGATAAAAAAATGACAAAAAAAAATAAAAAAAACGAACCGATGAAAAAAAAACAACAACAAAAAAGAAACAATGAAAAAAAATAACGAAAAAAAAAATAATGAAAGAAATAATGAAAAAACATGTCAAAAAAAACAATGTATACACCTATTTATAGTAGTTAATCGATATATTACATAATAGTGAAATTTTTTAAATTGGGTTTTACCTTATATTAGTATTAAGGTATCTACAGTCGGAATCATAAGTATCCCACCCTGCTAATTTTTCACCAATTATGTGTAATACTACAAAATTTTCTGAATATGTAATACTATACAAATATTGATTATACTTATTTTTTGGGGTTTAGTTATAATCTACATCATGCATTGGATAATCGATGAATTTTTGGCAGTTTAAAAAATATCTTTTTTCATACACAAGCAATATAAGATCATTTTTTTGCATACCCACCCTAAAGGCCCAAAGCTTGGACTAGCTGTAACAGCAAAGGAGGTCGGATGTGACAAAAAAACAGTTTTATATTGAGTTGGTAGATGGACTGAGGCCAAGAACTTAAGCAATATGCCAAAGTCTGGCCACAAAAGAATCACTACTAAGAAGCAAGACCAAAAGATATTTGATCTTGTACAAAAAAATAACAATATAATTGCTATGGAAATAAGTGAAATTATGAAGAAGATGTATATTGAAGTTAGTGCAGTTACAATTTGCTGTTATCTTCATAAACAAGGTGGCAAATTTGGGACCCAACTTTTGAAACCCCTGCTAACTAATAAGTATATAAAAAAAAGGTTAGAGTGGGCAAAAAATCATGGAAACTATGAATAGAACAATATAATCTTTTCAGATAAAAGTATGTTTTATCTAAAACATCAGCCAAAAAAGTGTAGCAGTTTTCTGGCAAGCATAGAGTCTTTTGAACTATAAAGCATCCTGTGAAGATACATATATGAGGCTGTTTTTTGGCTTCTGGGTTTGGTGAGTTGTTTTTTTTCCAGAGAAACTTGAATAGCATTTTTATGATTACTATATATCAGGAGAGTCTTTTGCCTTCTATTGATAAGACTTTTGGCAATAGTTCTATAGAATGGGTGCTTCAGAAAAACAATGATCCAAAGCACTATTCAAAAATTTGTAAAAATTGGAAGGAGAAAAGTAGTATTGATATACTTCTGTGGCCTTCAATATCTCCAGATCTAAATCCTATTAAAAATGTCTGGGGACTTATGAAGATTAGGCTTGTAAAAAAAAAAATTTGATTTATAGTGAGGTTAAAAAGTTTAATAATAAAGGAATAAAACCAATTGCCAAACGATCTTGTAGTAAGATTGGTAAAGAGAATGAATGATTATGTAGAAGCTGTAATAGCAAATAATGGTGATTATATATTGCATTAGGGATTATATTCTGTTAAATATTTTTAAATAAAAAAAATTTTTTACTAATCTGAATACTGCACCAAGTCATGTGGGGTGAGATACTTATGATTCTAACTATAATATCAGTAATATAATGCAAACTATATAGTGAAGATTATTAATGATTTTTTTTTAATGATTTTTCAACTTACAATTAGATCTTCCAATTTTACTATTTCTTATTAAATTATTATAAAAAAGTAATATCACTCAAAATTTTATTTCTCCTAAAGTATTAATATTTTCAAATTCTGTAAACTAATTATGTTTTATGAAATATATGGGCTAGGTGCTGAGAAAAGGGACCAAATTGACAAAACAAAAGATCTTCGGAAAATCAATTTTTATGTTGT